TATATATTCTTCTTCTTGATGTGACAAATAAATAGCTAGTAGCAACTGTTTCTTCTAATGTGACAATCTCTACTTGAACAGCCTTGGTCATCCAAGTTAAGAGATGGGAAAACCATTGAACACTAATTAAAAAATAAAAAGAATTGAAATATAGAAAGCTTACCTTTTCTTTTTTAAATGTTCTTTTCCAAGTAGATATCTTAGGAAGAGGAGAACACGTGGAAACTGTAATTAATATTTACGTCTCTTTTGCTTACAGCAAAAGTAAACATTATACACTAATAATAAGTTTTTTGTATTTTAAGTTTCCACTTTAGGACTGGCAGTGCCACTTCAAACAACTTCAATCTGTTGACACCATTATGTTTTTCACATGGTTCTGATAAAGCTGAAATCATAGCACCTGTACTTAGACAAAATAGAAAATATTATCACACAACAACACAGATTTTCTTTGTTTAATCTTCTTTTCTTCCAAAACTTTCCTTTTCTTTGGACAGAGTCACACATCCTTCAAATGGATGGTATAAATATAACACATCCGAAAAACCAATAATGACTGAAGACTTACGATCCTTACATAACTTTCTTGCTCTCGGAAAACGACATTCTTCGGTCTAATGATTGCAACTGGCTGCGGAGGCTCTGATTTTCCTCGAGCAGCCGGTCGTACTCGAGAAGAAACCCTTCCGACTGCTTTTTTAGAGCGATTGCATTTGTCTCTGCACTGTTTACCTCTTTAGACTTCTCTTGAAGCTCCGTCTCAAGCTGCTTAATCCTCTCACCTGATTTAGCTAATTCCTCTTCCAATGCTTTTACTACTGCAGTAAGTTGAGGTTTGCTGTCCTCGAATGCCCGGTTTTGTTTCTTCACAGCTTCCATGGTTTTCCTTCTTATGCGTAGTTCTCGGATGTAATGGTGCAGCCTGTCAATAATCAACGCAAGGAATAGCGAAAATCCTGAGGAAAAATAAAGTGAAATTGATAAAAATCAGTCTCCGTACAAAATTACAAAGATCGCAAGAGGTGAAACATATATTGGGGAAAGTAATTTGATAAGAAGCTGCACTTACCTGAAAATAATAGATTCTAACAAACAAACATATGAACCAACAATGACGAAAGAAGTTACCTTCTTTGGCATTAACTCATCGTCTGATATATAAAATGAATGGAATGCCCAAAAGATCCTACCAATGCTTTATGCTTGTGATTTTCTTAGATTTCACTAGTGAGCCACCAAGTTCCCACAAGTCTACGCACATTCATATAGTTTATTACACATAAATGGTAAGCAGCACAAACTCGAGTAGACATTTTTCATTAGCAATATAATTCTAGAAAACTGATTTTTTCATTCTTAAAAGATAACAAAAAAAAAAAAAAAAAAAAATTGACTACAAGTTCAATGGATCAGGTTATGCGAGGCATCCATGTTGCAGAACACGTTCACAGCCTTTTATTACTCTCACAACCTAAGTTCCACTAGCCGACTAGGTCCTATTTGTTAAATTGTAGCTATCCATTCAAGTCACGGTGTGGAATTGTTTTTGTTTTGAAAGTATACGACTCTCAGATAAATCCATATACACCTTCTATGAGACTATGACTAAGCTACTAGAACACGACGTCTACGTGCAAACCAGAAAAATATGCCATTAGTAAGGAGATTCCTTTTTAGAAACATTTAGACCAGAACTCCAGAAGATTGAGAAACAAAAAAATGTATACCTCCAAAAAATGGATACTAACAGACACCACATAGAAATTAAAAAAGTTATCTATTTCCATTCTCAAAATACAGACTACCTCTAGCACTGCACTTTGAAATGGCACAATCAATGCTGGTAGTTTATGATTAACTAATCATCTACTTCAATAGGAAAAAAAGCGACAGAATCTCCTAAAAAACCTGATCCAGAGGAAGCCGATAATAAATCAGAAATGCCGCTTAAAAGCACCAAATTTAGATCCATAGGCTCTCTGTACTTCGTTAAAAACGAATACTTATTTCCAAAAGAATCTTCCAATCAATGAAACACTAATCAGAACAAACAAATACAATTATACGCCCACAGGAAAGAAAATAAGAAAATAAATAGAGATGAGATTTCGAGCGATTACCCATGAGAGAAGCTTCGAGAAGATGCTTAGCGAGGAGAATCTGCTCCGTCGGGTTGACCTCACCTTCATGGATCCAACGCCTCTGGATCGCCACCACCTTATAAACGGCGGCCAGCATGACCACTAAGACCGTCCCCGCCACCGTCTTGAAGATGATCGGGCCCCGCCCGCGCTTGACCCGGTCCAGGCCCATTATAACCAGCTTTCTCAACGGCGTCTTGAACACGAACACCAAAATCAGCGCCATCTCCGCGAAAATTAGGGCAAACAGTAACTGAATCATCTTTTCTATTCTTCACTTGTTCCCTGCGCCGGTGACAGAGTCTTTGAGAGCTTGCAATTCTTCACATTAACGGGGTGCACGTTTATATGTGTGAAAAGTGGGGACTGCCGTCTAACATTTGAACTGTGAAATGATTTAAATTATTGTATTTTAAAATTAAGGACTTTGAAATATATTTATTTGCTATTTGCAGACGGATCCCATGGTGGTGTACTGGTGTTACCGACATGCCGAATGCCAATAATTATAATTTAATTTAGAATATAAAAAGTGAAATTGTTATCAAGTAAATCGAACCTGCTGATTGATGTATTAATTAATTTAGTTATTACATGTATCGAATTGTATTGATAGTCAATTAAATATACTTATTATACCTCTAACGACCTTCCAAATTGTTACTTAATGAGGTTTATTAGTATTATACTTAATGTAGAAGGAACTCAAATTTCAAAAATAAAAAATTACGGAGATAGAACACGAGAGAAATATCATATTATAATTTAAAATTATTAATCGGGCATGACCAATAAGGTAAAATATTACACAATCAATATTGACATTGAACCTATTTTTTCTCTCATCTGAGACCGTTTTTCCTCATCTGACTGGCTAGTTGGGTGGATTTTTCTGTGTCTTCCGTTCTTTCTTTTGGGAGGTCGATGGCCGACAAAGTATTAGGCGGGGAGCCGAGGGTAAATATGGCAGAGGAGCTGGAACAACATATGAAGGATTTCAATCTATCTGAATCTGAAAATTTGATAATCGATATTGAGTCGGAGGACGTGCACAAGAGTGAAGAGGAATGCAAAAGAAGCTTATTTGGGAAGATAATCGGAGATAGGAAAGCGCATTGGGTAGGGTTGAAGCGTGCGGTGGTCCAAATTGTGGAAGCTACAACAGGGACTGGAGGTAAGAGAATTAGGGCACAATTATTTTCAGTTCATTTTTCAAGAATTGGGAGACAAATCTAAGGTTGCTTCGGGAAACAAATGGGTGTTTGAGAACCATTATATTATGCTGCAAGAGTGGAGGGAAGGGTTGTCAGGAAATCATACTTGCTTTGAGGATATGAGACTGTGAGTTCAAGTCCATAACATCTCCCTTAATTGGCTTTGCACAGAGGTGGGATTGAATATTTGGAGAGTCTTTCAGAAAATTCATAATCTGGCGATTGCCAAAGCAGGTAGCCAGGGAGGCAGAATTCTTTGATTGCAGGTGAATATTAACTTGAAGGAGCCATTAGTTAGGTGTACTAGTATTAGACTAGAAGAGCATATTGTGGTGGTGAACTTTAAGTACGAAAAGTTGGTGAACTTATGCTATTACTGTGGTAAGATTAGGCACTTAGAGAGGGGCTGTGTGAAGAGCTTAGTGGATATTGCCAACAATTAGGTGAATGAGGGGAAGTTTGGAGAATGGTTAAAGGCAGTTGATGGGCTGCAATGGACCGAGAACTCAAGCAACAACAACCATTCAGGGTCTCTTGGTTCTCAACCAATACCTGTCACCCCTCATTTAAATGCTTCGGTGGAGAAGAATAATGTTGGGGCTTCTTCTAGCAAAACCAAGGGAGACCAACAAATTTGATTATTAGAGAGCTAGACCAATCGAAGGAGGTAGTCCAGCTCTTCAATGGAGGTTTAGGGAGGTGAAGAAGTAGTTAACAAGCTATGCCTAACCAATATAGCAGCTTCAGGGAGACTGGAGGAGCCAGAATGTGAAATGGTCCCTATGGTGCTCAAAGCTATGGAAATAGAACAAAAGTGTCAGAAAGGAGAGGTCATTAAGGAAAATATATAGAGTAAAAAAAAAAATATATTTGTATTATAGAAAAGTGTCCAAAAGTGTCTGTAAACTCGAAAATAAGCCACAATTAACTGTTCGTTAAGCTTATAATAGAAAAAAAAAAAATATTTGTATTATAGAGTAAAAAAACCATAAATTTATATATATGCGAGATGCAATTGTTCCTTATTGAACAGAAGGTTTTGGAGCATGGCTTCGTTTCTTGTTTTTATGGCCAACACCTGGGCTATGGCTAGGTGCTGTGGGCCTAAAAGACTTACTCGGGCCCAACTTTGGAGAAACCTTCTTCCGAAGCCCAGCATTGATCCAAGACTCCCTACCAACATGCGTAAAAATTTAAACAAGCTCATTTTCATATGTAAAAAAATAAATAAATAAATAAATTGATTGAGTATTTGCTTCATCATAAATATTAGCACACACTGAAAGAAAGAGAGATAATTTACTTGTAAGTTTTGGGAAGTTGGTTAGCTTTCTCCTGGGCGGCACCAGCCGACAGCGGGCCACTCAAATATATAAAGGCCAATACGCAACAAGGCCATCCAACAGGTTCTTGAATGATTATAAGCCATTTTCTTCCTCTTTTTTTCTTTCTTTAATTTTTTTTTTTTTTAAAACTCTTTAAGTGATTGTGTGTGTAAGTTGAATGAGGAATGAGGTCTATTTATAATTGCAAAGGAATGTTTAAGTGATTTGCCCTCTCATCCCCATTATTTGAATCAATTTCTCCTAAGATTCCTTGATGTAAAAGTGATTTGCCTTCTCTCCTAATTTTTAACTCACTGTTTGTTTTCCTGATTTCATTTTTCCCCTTTATTTTTTCCTTCATTTTTTCATATTACCCACTTCAAACTTTTCCCCCATCTCGGGTCCGAAGTACCCACTTAGTTGTAGTTGTGCTATAATTAGTTTGTATAGCTTAACTTGATTTCCAAAGATGACATAGTCAGAAATTAGGGGAATGACGTAGTCAAATAATTTTAAAAAGTATATGAATTCAACTAGTAAAAAATTTGTTTTTTTTAACTACAATTTAGTTTGAAAAAAAGTGGTATGATTAGTTGTTAGTGAATATATTAAAATAATATTTAAAATAAAATAATTAAAGTTGATTTGATGTAAATGTAGGAGAAAATGATTGGAAGTGATGGTTAATTAAAATTATGGACTGGATGAATAATGAATTAAAATTGATGTGATGTGTAAGAATAATTAGTTCATATTATTTAATTATATTGATAATATTGAAGATAGTGGAGTTGAGTTAAAATTGAGTTTTAATTGGTTTTTTTACTGTACAATTTATAAACAATCGCTCCCTTAATCATTTGTGTAGTCATGGCCACTTGCCAGACCGGCTCTGAATTGGCCCTTGGTCAACGAGCCCAGACTTGAGCTCGTAGGTTGAGTGGGTCGGTTCTGGGTCTTATGCATATATTTTTTTGACTTGGCTGGCCGGGCCGGCCCAAAATTGGCCCTATGATGGTCCGCGGCGTCCGCCGTTTTTTCATTTTTTTTTATTTTTATCTTTTTTGGATCAGGCGGTTGAGCCGAAACCCACGTTACCCGACCATTCCGTCGAATGTATTTGACCGTTGAAGATCCGACAGTCAATTTCTTTTTAACAGGTCCGATCTGGGTTTGACCCGGCCTGCCTCGAGTCCAATAGTCGCCAAGTAACAGTTAGATTTTCAAATTTAATCGTTGAGATCCAACGGTGAAGATTAAACAGGTTAGATTTCATTCTAGTTATAAAATGTCGAGTTCTTGTGGTGGTGGTCGTGTTGGTGATCGACCACTACAAAAGCGTAAAAATAAGGGATTGAACAGGTTAGTACGCAAATTAGGTTGTGCCAGGGCCCATTTTACAGGTGGTGATCGGCCTTTTACAGGTGGTGATCGGCCCATAGTGCAGGTCCACGAACATATTAGTACGCAAATTAGGTCGTGTGATCTCGGTTCAAGTCTTTTGTACACCAATATGGGATTGAAAAGTGTGAAATTCAAATTATTTTCGAAATATCGATACTAATTAAGTAAGCATAATTGTTTTGCCGGTAAATTCATACTATTTTTAGTAAATACAAATCTTTATATATATATATATATATATGAATTAATAAATAACTTTAATCTTATCTATAATTTAAATTTATTTTAGGCAAAATTACTCGTTATATCACGGCCATTTATTAAATTGCAAAAACATCACGACTTTTTCACTTTGACACATACTGTCATTACCTATGATTTCTTTGCAAAATGATATACCAATTTCAGAAACCGGCCATTTCTTTGCAAAATGATATACCAATTTCAGAAACCGGCCATCTGTCTTAATGTGTCCGACTAACCTTTTATTACTTGGAATTAAAATTCTGATGTGTACATTTTTTCCAACGTGTAGAATTCCATGGAAACATGCATAAATAGCCCAAATCAGATTTCTGAAATGCAAATGCAAAATTATCCTTTCTCTACCATTCAAATTTGACAAAATCCTTCGTTTCTAACACCTAATATCTCTGTGTATATTGATTGGTCAAACACGTTTCTATGTCATTTAACACGTCGGAAAAATTTACACATCAGATTTTTTATTCTATATTAAAAGGTTGATCAGACATGTAAGTACTGATGGCCAATTTCTGAAATGTTGTATCGTTTTACAAAGAAATCAAACAGCATGATATTATGCGTCAAAGTGCAAAAGTCTTGATGCTTTTGCAATTTGGAAAAATATCGTGATATAACAAGATATTTTGCCTTTATTTTAAGATAACTAGATTCATTTGTTATTTTTAAATTAATATTGATGAGCTCAATTTTATTTTATACTTATACAAGTAAACTGATTATTTTTTCATTCTATATGTAACAAGTGTGGGTTTCAAATAGAATATCATCGAAAAGTAATGATAGAAAAAAGGAAGAAAAAAAAAAAGAGGAAGAAAATATATTGATATTTAATTTGAAAATATGAATATAGAAAAAAAAAGGAAAAATATATGTACACTAAATGCTGAAAAAAATAAATGGACAGAAGAATGCTATATTACATTTTAAATTGTGATATTTTCATATGTATTTCTTGCTGAAAAAAATATCAAAATATGATATTTGCATGGCAAGAGAAACTCTTTTTAATTTTATACACTAGTCTGTTTGAGTCAGATATACATGATTGGGTAGCTACGACATAACTTTCTTAATATTTACATTCGTCTGTTTTTTTGTTTTTTTTTTTGCCTTATTTTCACATAATTTTTTAAAATCTAAATGAGAAATAAAAAAGAAAAATAGCACTATCTTATGCAAAATAAATAATGTTTATTACAGTATATATATATTGAAAATTAACTGTTAGGCCCAGTCTTTAGTTGCGGATTTGGATTGATAGATAGATTTAATTTTATTTTACGGCAGTTATTACAATTNAAGTAACCATACCAAATAGCCTTGTTCCAAAATCTATGGAACTACTCAAACAATGCTGCTGCAGATTTGTCCTCCCAAAAACACTAATAAGCTTTCAACTTTTGGTCAGTGCCTTCGATCTTGCCTTTAGATTCAGAAATATTGCCCTGAAAAAATGAAATAGAAAAGGGGCATACACACCAAATACTTACATAACAAAACTTCCAGCTATAAAATTACCATTGATTCCAATGATTTCTCAAAATCACAAACAAACAGAAAGTATTAACAGAGGATATGTAGTTATCGTACCAGAAACAGGCTATGACACTTTGAACAATAACTCGGAACTGCAAAGGCACATATTGATGATTTACCCATCCAACCACAGGCCAAAACTGCATTAAAAAGCGAACGAAAAATGTAAATATAATTTCTTTCTTCGGTAGCGGATATTAAAAGTGAGACTATCTGCTAATCACGTACAGTCCATGACGTATACTGGATAGTTGGATATTCCTTCTTAATTTTAGGCTTCACGTGGATCCAGGATCTGCCTGCACAAAATAAAGGTGCCGATAAAATTCTCATCACATCATAAAACTATCTAACTAGCAAAGTAGAATTTCGACACAAATGTTGGGCAAACAGAGAAATTTTCGTTAAAAAAAATTTCTGAGAGGAGACAAATACATAATATAAATTAAACCCATGTAAATGAGATTTACCGTGCTTGAGTCCTATAAATTTTCCTTACAGAAGTACATTAATATTTACATTCATAGACTAACCTTCGATAACAAACCCATAATATAACATGAAAAGCAAGTTGTTCCAAGGTGAAGATGTCAGTTGTTCTAGCACCACCTGAAAATTATGTCATTTGCATTCAGTGTTCTTTAACATAGTTCAGAAATTCAAATTCATTTTTATCATCATAAATATCCTTTACAGGAGAAGTTGTTACCAAAAAGTGCCATAAAATTGGGAAAAAGCCCCAATGGGGGGAGATTATGCAAAATGACACGAGTATAGTTCTTAGATAATAAACTGAAAAAAAGTGAGGCGTACCTTCTTTGCCACAGTCTTTGTATCCTTCTTTCCTTTGAAAATTTTATCGAGCATAATGTAAAAGAAATGCCCGAATGGACCAAGATATGCAGCCCCAAAAATCTGCATTTGGGCATTCAAAGTCAAACCAGAAATATCTATTCAACTTGGTGGCACAGAAAGACTGAAAAAAAGAGGATGGATGCAAAAAAAAATTCTAAAACATTATTCTAGGTCTATGGAGATTTCAGCAAATGCAAAAGCAGGCACAAAGATGAAATTAATTAGCATGAACAAAGAGAACGAAATCTCGAAAACATGACTTTTCAAGAAGGGAGTATAGCTGAGCTGATAACGTCAATNAAAGCCACTATCAAGTTCATATCTTTGTATTCATCTTCATCATATCCAGACGCCAAATATTGATTAAAAAGATTACCAAACCCTTTTACTTCTTCAAAATACTTAAATTTGGTGCATCCACTCACTCGTGGACAATGTAAAAACATGGCAACAAATGCATTCGGATATGGAGTGGAAAACTTGAAACAAATACAAGATTGAATTTCATTAACCATGTCTTTTTACTTTTTATGATACAAATCATTCTTTAAATTGTAGTACGAGTTTAAAACGAATTTTGTAAATAATAAGAACCCAATGCATAAGACCACCAATCAAATAACTAATAACAGTCTAGATCATTGCTTTGTGAATATTTTATCATATCAAACCATCGAGGAGCACAAATCAAAATATGTCTAGTCCAGGAATAACATTATTCCCCTAATTTAATGAACCGAGAGCCAATGTATAATAAAAATTGTAGCTTTCTGCCACCAAACCTTGAAATCAGTTCAATCACCTGAGTTTATCAGTCGCAGGTTACCAACCTGACTAGGTGTAAGATACTCAAATATGAAAAAATAATATTATTTGTTCACTTGAGAAAATATTAAGGAAAGCCCACCACAATTAACGAGACTCAGTTGTAATCATACAATCTCACAAGAACAATACCACTTTGAGAAGAAGGCGCTTAAGCTGGAGCCTCTGAATGCCGGAAAGCTTCTGCGCCACTATATCGCTAGTCGCCGACAAAACCCCTGCTGTAATCACCTGGACACATGCCCATCAATGAAAAATTGAAGAATTTGCCCGAATCAAATCACCCCCAGCTCACGAGAAAATCGGAGCAATTCAACCAAGAAATAAAATATACATTTGTAAATGGGGAAATCAACGTGGGGGTTTAAAAAAAAAAAAAGAAGAAATATGAGACCTTTGTTCTGAGAGGGTGTTGTTGGAGCTGCAGTAAATACTTTTGCAAGCCCTTCTTACCAATGGATCCCATCTTTACTATTCGTTCAACGCTTCAGTTCTTGCTCACGATTTTGGTGTGCTAAAAACGGAGAGAGGAAAAATTAAAGGCAAAAATGGCGCTGTTTCAGTGTTTCTAATGTGTGTGTTGAAATATAGTATTATTTTTTGTGCATTTAGGATTTCTTATTCTAATTAGTATGCATATAAGATATTTTCGTTGACTTACAAAATATTATGGTAGACTCTGTAGACCGTGGTAGGTATCGTAGGTTGATGGCTGACCAAGTTTCCAAATTTGATCAAAATAATTTCATAGAATTATAAATATTACAAATTTTTATAGAACCAGTCATAATTGATGTGTTATAATTACCTTAAATATATTTTAATTTAGGATACATATGAATTCACTCTATGTGAATAATGGTAGCTCCATAAATCATAGAAAAATTATTAAAAGTGATAATGCAACGTCATTCGATCCATATTTAATTTATAACAATAAAAATATATGAAAGTTATAAATATACCAACTTGTACACGATAATTTTTTGTATAAAATTTGATCATTCAGATCAAATTTCAATGTTAGATTTGAGATCAAACAATCCTTGAAGAAACATTATTCAAATTGTAAATTAAAAACGACGGAGATCGAACTGAAAATTCATCTCCGAAAGTATCAAATTAATCTTTCCACTATATATATTTCCTTTATCCATTGAAAATTAAGGTGTACAAATTCTCGTTTTTATTAATCCATGAATACGAAATTTGCGTTGCGGTATGCTTCGGTATGTTCGAGCTTAGATGTTTGTGTAGGCTAAGACAAGCATAGTATATGTTTCAAAATAGGTCCAAATACATATACAAAGGTCACAAAGCTGCTCAGATCCAACAGTTAACCCTAACCATTTTCTTGAAACTCGAAACAAACTCAAGATAGAACTGAGTTAGCCCAAGAGCCACTGTCAGATTTTTATAGAGCCATTTTGCTCACATGCAGATGTGCAGACCTCTTCTAAAACTCAACAAATTTCCAAATGTAAACTTCAAGTTTCACCAAGAAATATTCCATGCAGGTAACAATTATTCAACAAGCAAAATAATTAAANAAAAAAAAAAAAAAAGTCAAAGAAAACCGAACCGAACAGTTAAGACGGCTTGTAATACTTGGTTGGGACAAAGGGCATTTTCGTAACATTCCCATCATACGACTTTCCTCTGACCACAATCTTCACCTTTGTTCCGGGCTTGTGGAGCCCAGACTTAACGTACCCCATGGCTATGTTCTTCTTCAGGCAGGGACTAAAGCCTCCACTCGTGACCTCTCCTATGCTCTGCCCTCCTTCATCCTGGATCTCACTGTGACTCCTGGCTGGCGGGCCCGCTGAGAAAAGCCCAACTCGCCTAATGGGCGGGCCCTCAGCAATCTGCTTGAGTATGACATCAGCACCCAGGAATCCGCCCTCAGCCCTTCTCCGCTTCCCTATGGCCCACGTGAGCCCAGCCTCGACTGGAGTGGTGTGCTGCTCCATGTCGTTACCGTACAGGCAGAGGCCTGCTTCTAGGCGGAGGCTGTCACGGGCCCCCAGGCCCGTTAGCCTCACCGTGCCTTCGGATTTTTCAAGAATGGCTTTGGCGAGGTCAACTGCATTCTCCGAAGGGACAGAGATTTCGAAACCGTCCTCGCCCGTGTACCTGAAAGTAAGCATTCTCGAGGTTTAGCCGATTTACCGAAAATAACCTTTGATTTTTTTCAATTTTAATAACAGAAAAACCTTGCTGTTTTCGATTTTCAATTTACCGATTCATCTAACAAATTAGTGATCAATCAAATTCAATACTAACCATGAATTCAAGAATCCGACGGATATTATTTGCTACTTTTAGTGATTAGATCACTAGTGAACAGGGAAAAATTGCACACAGTTGAAGATTTATGTAGGAAATATCATGAAAACAAAATAACATACCCAGTTCTTGTCAGGAAGCAGGAAACACCATTGATGTCCAAAACCCGGAAGTCGCTAAAGTATATCTTGCTCAGGTCCTCTTTCATCAGGTGCTGAAGAACTGGGGCAGCAAGGGGACCCTGCATCAAGATACATCTTTAGAAAAATCAAGAAAGTTCTCTGGCACACGCCATCAAACTCGACATGGTTCAGATGACGAGAATATTTTTGCTCTTTTTAAATTGTTAGAAACTTAATCACAAATTTAAATCCGGCAGGTAGATAAAGGTGGCAAATGCTACTTCGTCTCCCGTTAGAACATACGTCTAGAAGAAAAACGTGAAGAAAGCAAAATTTCACCAAAAAAGAGCATATGTGGCACCTTGAACGTATCCCACGGTTTAAATGACGAATTTGTTTTCATTTTCTTTGCACAAAAAAGGAAAATCAATGTAACAAGATCTCAATCTGAGGTCTTATTTCGATTCTATGCGTCCACCTACGAGAGTCGAGTATTAATCGACGTTTTCCCAAAAGAACATTGATTCATTTCTTTGTTCCCCGTTGACCACGTGAACTAAAACAGCGAGAAAAATCCAGACTCGTAAAGGCGAACGGACAGTGGTGGAAATTGGGGAAGCTCAGCAGAATTATACTGCTAAAGCATGGACAAAATATTTCACAATTATCTACCATTGTGTTCCAAAATAATTCAACCATTCACGAAGAAACGACTCAAAAGGCATAAAGCTACTTGGGATCACAAACAGAATTCACACTTTCCTTACACGTAGAACAGCTTCAGATTATATTCCAACTATATGTTCTTCCACAAACACCTCACATGAGAAAGCACAAGAATCTCAATCATATCTATTCATTTCAATCCTAGTACCACTTCATACAAGAACATAGCTACCTCAATTTACTTCACAGGTGTAACCACTAACACATAACAAGATAACCACATTTCACAATTCAACTCCCAGTAAAAAATCGTCTCGGTTTTCACCTTACAGCCCAAAAAAACACGAATTAAAAACGAAAACTAACCTGGAGAGCCAAAAGGGACCTCTCGTCATGAATATGCCACGAAACATCCCCGCCTTTCGACGTGAAAGCCTTCATATGCTCCTCAATATGGGCAAGATCCTTATCCCTACACCCGGCATTCACAACAAGGTATATATGATCATTCGTCACCTTAGTAATCACAGAGTCATCTATGGCTCCACCTTTCTCGTTCGTGAAAATGGTCAGAGATCCAGTCCCGGGAGCCAGACCCGCCACGTCAGCAACAACAAGCTTCTCGAGAAATGGGATGCAATCTTTCCCTTTTAGGCTGAGGCCACACATGTGGGACACATCAAACAAGCTCCCGTTTTGCCTGCAGTTCAAAGTTGAGTCCATGATCGAATCTTTGTACTGGATTGGCATGCTCCACCCAGCAAATGGGACCATTTTCCCACCGTTGGCCACGTGAAAGTCGTAAAGGACAGTCTTTTTCATATCAGCTTCGGATGAGAAGCACCTGCGGGCTGCGGCGGGCTTCTTGTCGGCCCGGGATAAACGGCGGGTGATCGACTGGCCGAGTTGCCATAAACCTCCTCCCCTCATTTTTTTTTTTTTTTTGTTCCTAGTTATCTATGGTTGAGAGAAAGGTAGAGTCAGTCAATAAAAATGCAGCGTAAGGGTTGTAATGTGTGTGAACCAAATTGATTTATGTAACAGTGAAAAGTGTCCTGCAGAATTCGTAGCCAAACATGGATGATAAAAATCCGATCTTTTTTTAATTCTATTTCATAAATTACATGATTAACTGCAGAATATGAATTACACAACAGCTCAAAACCAGTTCATACGATATTTTTGCGACTCAGATCCCTAGATTGCTGCTATTTGAAATCCTCGTGAAAAATTAAGATGTCAAAATGAAGCGCAAATCAACACGAATGGGCAAGAAAAATACTAATCTTTATCAGATGTAAGAAATGGAGGGCAGTCAGATTCGGGGGAAGAAGGAAAAAAAAACACGGTACCTGCAGCGAGACTGTAAGATTCTTTTTCTGGTCTTGAAAACGGTTGTGCGGAAACCAAATTGAGCATTTCTTATGAGAAACAGTCTATATGGGGATATAATTATAAGGCAATATAGTATGTGATTATTATTATTTCAGAACCGGTAAAAATAGGAAAAAAAGGTAGATTGGGTTTAGATTAGTGGGTGGATGAGGCTTTCCCAACCAAAATCAAGACCCCATCCTCAGTGAGTGGTGAGATGATAATACTCATCACCTCCTCTTTGTCCAGTTGTTGGTAAGGAAACACACTTTTGAGTGGGTTACAATTCATTTCCATTTCTTGTTTACATTTCCACTCTCTTTTTCAGTATATAAAAAAAAAATAAAAAATAAATAAATGAAAAAGCCCTATTTGTTAATATGTCTGTTTTTAGCAGAAATCTAATATTATCGTATTTTAATACGAACACATTATGACATTTCACGTATACAGTATGCTCAGACATTGGGAAGTATAAAATTACATATGCAATCCTCAAATACATGGATCCTTGCAAATGCATACTACACGAGAAGATTCGCTTGGTGTGGTATATATATATATACATGCTATGTTTTTAGTCCCATATTATCTTCTCACACTCGAGTTTCTTGTGCAATCCAATATGTAGAGAACCGAAACCTAGACATGAGATGTGACTTGTATTTGCAGTGATTTAAAATAGCTCCTCAATTCATGTCCTGGGTAAGGAGAAAAAGATGAGAATGTAACTTTAAGATATTATTTCTCATGCATGTTAAGTCTCGGTTTATCATCATCAAGCTCACTCGCGAAACAATACTTTCGCATTCAGTTTTGTTGGAATGAAAAATGTTCATCTTTGATGTGCCAAAATTTTACATTCACAAGATTTTTACCTTGAGAACTTTAAGTCAGATCACTTGCTGTGCGTTTCCTCATGTTACAACAATTAAACAAGAAAACTAACTGAAAAATCCCCCAAAAAAAAAAGAAAAAGAAATAAATAAATAAGGAAAAAGAGTAACTAGATTGTGAAACACGCCACACAAGTCATGACAGGATTGCACTAGGAAGAAGAACGCTGGTGTTCTTGAGGACCTTCGTCGCACGCCAATGGACAGCCGCAGCAGTTTCAGAGCTTCCCAGCTGCCAAATTAATAATAATATATTAAAAAAATCATAAGTATTGAAATTGAACATTCAACTGATAGAATAGAAAACACAAAACTGGTACGTAATTACGTAGCAGGCATTTTATTTACTCATTTATTTATTAGGGAAAGGAAAAATATCGACTGTGTGGTAAACACTATCTTCTTAAATAGGAAAACTTTGGGCCCATCTAATAGACTTGACACTCATAATCAAAGAGAGAGAGAGAGAGAGAGAGAGAGAGAGACCTTGACTTCCATGGAGTGATAGTCCCGCCACAGACTTGCATCTTGATCATAAGTTGCAAGTGCAGATTCATACAATTTCCGAGCATTGGCAAGACCAATCTTGTCCCCAGCAGATGCAAGGTTCGACTCTAGCTCGATGCAATTTCTGAATATAGCAAGTCCCGGATGAGGTAAAGCCAGAAACCTGCATTCAATGGAAAATGACAGTATATCAGAAAAACATAAAATAAAACTTGAGTTAAATGTTGCCAACTGGATACTTGCCGCTTGTACATATTTCTTGCACTTTCAACTCCATCCTTCTGGAGAATATTATTTACAATTGTCGACGAGAGTGAAAATCCAGTATCACTCCCACCATCTCTAGCTAAAACTAGAATTGATGTCTTTACAAGCTTTTCAAAATAGTGTCTTTGATTTGCAAAGTATGTCAGCCCCTAAAACAAAACAGAAAACAAAACAAAACAAACAAAAGGTCGTTATTAGTCTCAGATGATCATATCTCCACAAGTTTCACCAGGGTACGATGATGCCCATAAGAGGTATTACAAACAAAGAAAGCTTTCAGATATAACCTCCTTACGCAAGTTAAAAAAAGAAAAGCAAAGAAGAAATCATGCCCATGTTTGTTGCATTTTGGGCGTGAACGTGGTTGAGGAATAGGGCATTATGCAATTATGCAAAGAAAACATAGCGGTAAACAAATGGGATACCATCAACATCAGCTTGTTCTCGCAAAATTGTAAAGCCCCAAGCATACCACTGATGACCATAATTGAATGGACTTTCAGGAGCATTTTAACATGTATAAAAAAGATGACATAATTCACAAACAAATAGGCAATCAAGTAGTGGAAAACTTCTTCATACCATAACCCACAAGTTTTCGGCTTCCCTAAAGTGAACTTTCATCAGAATATTTCTAAGAAGCTCAAAGATGTATTGTAGGTCACTTTTGGTTTGGTGTAGAGATTCAGCCTGAGTGCCTTTCATCTCTATAGAAAGCCGTAAAGTCCATAACTTCGCTGAATGGGAAAATTGTCCAGAGCAAAGCTTTTCACTCTCCATCTTGGCCTCGCTTGATTTTCCCATGTGAAAAAGGAATGAAACATGAAGGCAAGCAAGATCCTCGGTAAGGAAGCCCATATTCTTGGCCTTCTCATATACTGTCTGGAGATGTGAAACAATGCCTAAGGCTTGACTGTCAGAATCAAAACGAACTTCAGCTTCTCCATCCTTATTTTCATCATTGATGGCATCCATGAGAAACTTTACATAAAGCTCGATTATAGTAGCTGATGGTACAAATTCCAGAGCTTCCTCATAAACCTACATGCATATATACTAAAGGTGATTACCAAATGTAAATGCAGAAGGAGTGCAGACAACACGCAGTCTGATTATATAGTTCATTAGTCTGATAATTGTTTTCCCTATGTAGAGGGTACTATAAACACAAAACTCAAGGGGCTGTTTGTGTCACCTCAGTGGTGTATTCAATAATTATGAGAAAAAAAACCCAACAGTAAGTTAAAGTAGTCATCCCTTTAATATAAATTTAATCAAAGACAGGAGCAGATTCCATTCAACTCACCCTGACTGCTTTGCCCAACCGCTTTTGATCTGCTCGTTCGAGATCTCCTGCTTCATACCTCGCAAGCCAGTCCCAATACGAAGGCTCCTTTGAGAAATCCCTTCTCATGTCACTAAGTATCTTTGTTTGCATATCTTCTAAATGACCCAACCCTACTGCTTCCACTATATCAAGAAACCGTGTTCTGAGACTGAAAGCAGCGGGTAAGGCTTCAATTGCATGACTATAAGTGGTCTGAACCATGTCCAAGCAAGACTTCCATTCGTCCTTTTTCCCTTTAGGTTTCCCATCTTGGGTACTATCTCTCTCGTCATTACCATCCCCACCCTCGTTAAGTGCCACAAACAATTCCTTGTTCTCATTTTTCCACTTTTCCTCATCAGCACTCTTGTGAACAAGAGATTGGTCTCCCACAAGCTCTCCCAAGAGCACCTTTCGAGCTCTTAACTTGTTAAGGAATGTGAGTTCCATCCTAAGAAATTCTATATAGAGGTCTTCAGAATTTGGGCACGCTCTCATACCTTTGAACATAAGTTTGCGGGCAGCAATGACATTTAGATTGGTGTCAAAATTCCAAGCAGCAGAATAAATCCAAGCAGCAGGCTCTTTTGGATGAAATCTTAGAAATTCAGCCAGAACCTGCAATATTATTAGAACACATGAAAGCAAGAATTTCAATCAATCTGAAAGTAGAGGTTTATGCACAATATAAAAAATTAAAAAAAAAATAAAAAAGTAAAAAAAGAGAAAACGAATCAGACTATATGTTAGCCATAGCTACAGGTGACAAACGACATCACACAACTCAAAATTAATCAGTTGGTGTCTACAACTAGAATGTGAAGAAATCGCTAAATAGTCGTTAATCTCTACTGTATAATGAACGAAAATGTTCCAAAAAGATGGTACCTTTCTCATCCTCCCGTGACGCCGTTCTTTGCAAAATTCCAAGTACTGAAACCACAACTTGAGGTCCCCCTTGAACCGGGTGGTGGCGAGCCGATAAATGTTGATGATCCTGGCAACGCCGGCATGATCGGAGATCGTTTCTTCCGATCTTTCGGCGCCGGTTTTCCGCATAAGGGATTTTTGGCGGAGGCGCCGTAGGGTGTCGAGCTGCTTCTCGTAGTCGATGTACGCCAAGTAATCCTTCTTGAGCGGGCTCGGCCGCTTGAGTCGGAATTCGAATTTGCGGCGCTGTTTGACTATCTCGGCTATCTCGCGGCTGCTGAACAAGCCGCGCCGCTCTAGGTCGTCGAACTCATCGAGCATGTGCTCGAGCCTGAATTGCACGACGTCCGCCATCTTTGGGGAGCTCTACGCGGGACTAGCGTCCGTGCCTGTGTTTCGAGTGGCTGGCGGCGTCGCAGGGGAAGAGTGTAGCTGTGAGTACTGTCGATGGGTAGTGAAGAAAAAGGTGCTAGCGGGCTTTGGGTATGAGCTGAATTAGGGTTTGAAATATATGGTTGTGCTGTCCAAAAATTAAAATAGGCAACATTTGGCATGTGAAATTTTTTATTATTAAGAGAATTAATGATTATTTAATTAATTTTTTAGTGATGAAACAAATGTATTAAAAAATAATAATTATTTTAACATGTGATATAAATAATAATAATAATAATAATAATAATAATTAAATGTGATGTAGTCAAATAATAATAAAAAATATATTAATAATTTTAAATATATGAGAAATTAATGGTATTTTTATTGGTAAATATGTACTGACGATTAATTTTTAATTCAAATAATCATTATATAAAAAGAATAACCTTTTTATAAATTTAGAAAGTTTTTCCCGCCATAATTATTAAATATATCCTAATTATAGTAATAGTTGGACAATTATGAATAAGCACAAAAAAGGCTTTTTAATTGCAGTGTTTCCTTAATTCTAGCTTGCACAATTAAATCGGCGTGCAACAACAAATCCGATTGGTTTTTTTTTTTAACTTTCCCACAAAAATATCGGAATTTTTGTTTTACATCTAAATCTGATTTTTTTTTTTAAACACAAAATCCGCTAAAAGTTTAGATATTCACGTGTACAAATTAGTTACATATTGAATACTTATTAGGAATGAATTATGAAATTAAATAAAACTTTTATTAAATAAAACTTTTTTGGACGGCATCAATTTATATAAATTTATATAGATATTAAAAAAAACGACATTAATTAAAAACATTGTTTTTTAAAATTGATTCACAACATTCATCGAAAAAAAACTGTACAATATATTCTTGGTGTGTACAAATTAAGTTGCTAAATAATTGAAAAGAATCTCACCTTGCTAAGAATTCGAATATCATGCAACTCTTCACAATATTTAGTCTGCATTTATCCGATGTAATACATCAATTAATTGGAAATTAAGTTGCTAAATACTTGTACAGAATCCCATCTTGCATTGAATTCGAATATTACAATTCTAAATAATTGGAAAGAGTCTCATATTGCATGGAATTATCATATAAACTAAAACTTGAACAATATTTTATCCGTCTACATCCCATTTTTCATCTACATATAATGTAATTTCCGTATATTAAGATTTTTTCCTAAAAATCTTAACAGATATTGATTCTACTCTACCAATTATAAATTATAAATCTCAAAATATTGAGCCATTCTATTTATAGTTTGTGTAGATTTAATAATATATGATTGTTTCTTTGTCCATTACTATCTTATTGTACAATTTTTCTACGTATTATAAAACTTCTATTTAATATTGCATCTTATAATATAATTTTCTCCAAATAAATATATCTCGTGCCTCACACGGGTCATGTGCTACATATATCACGTATATTTTTCTTTATTCATCTATATAATTATAAGTCTGGATAAATAGCTTTAAAATTGTGCGTCATGTGCATCGCACGGGCTCTGCACTAGTTATATTGAAAAGTAAATAAGGCCTTTGGCATTGAGTAAGATCATAATCAATGTCTCGAGGATATGATGAGTCTTGACATTGAATACGATAAAATTTTAACAAGGTGTGGACAATTCCAGCAAAGTGTATTAAATCGATGTTGAATTAAAAACATATAAAAAAGTATTAAAGCTTTTATTTTAAAAATTTTATTCATAACTAAAATAATTTAATTTTGTATAAAACAGTACTTTATGTTTTAATTAAATTGTCAAACTATAATTTTTCAATCATAATAGTTAAACACTCATATATTAAATAAAAATGTCAACTCATATTGATTTTTTTATTTATATTATATAGAATATCAATATTATTTACTATTACATGAGTATAAATATATATATATATATATATACATATTAGAATAATAGAAATAATATGGTGATATGTATATATATAAATGTAGAATATGTTTGTTAAATATTAAGTAAAAAAACTAATCTTTTACTTAATTAGATGCCAATAGATCTGGCTTCACAAATTTTTAACTTTATATGTAATTTTTAAATTTTTGATAATTAATTATTTATTTCTATTAGATTGACAACACACATTTGAATCATATCACATAATTTCATTTTGAAATGAGTAAAATATGAATATTGGAGATAAAAGATTGTGAAATAAATTAACATGCTTGATTTAGTGAACATATGTAATACAAAAGAATGAAATAAAAAAGAAATTATTATGGTAACTATGGAAGAAAAATATGAAATGAAATAAATAATGCTTGTTTCAATGAAGAAAAATATTTAATATATTATAGAAATAACCATTCTTACAAAATAATAATGTATCAATCTAAAACACATAATTATGACAAATAAGATTATGAAGTACACAAGTCTGTCAGTTAAGCTCTAACTTATTCAAAAATTATATATAAGGGATTTGTCCACTAAGATAATAAAAATGCATCAATATTCTCAATAAAATGAATACATCAACCACCATAGCAAGCTTTGCACAAGTGACCACCACCCAACTGAACTTCAGAAATTTAGTTCATCCAATACATAAGAAACACTCAGTTACACAAGAAAAACAATTGCTAAAAACAAAACAATCTGAAAATTTTCTCAAGCCAATAACTCAAAATACAAATTACAGCTCAAGTTAAGCTGCTGCATATCTATTTTCTCCCGATTTATACTAGACTTCATTTCAATATAGTCCCCAGTCACCCTCTCGTGACCGAGTCCTAACTCACTCAGAAGGTTCAGAGAGGTCTCGTCCTATGCCCTCTTGCTCGGCCACAGAGAAGAGCATTTCTAGGAATCGGGAGCTCGTCCCTAAATGATTTTGATGGCGTGTAAACTCTCATATAGAATTGCTGCCCCAAATACTGCCTCGCCCAATCCTCGGACCTTATGTTCCACATGCCCACATTGTCTAGAGCAACCCATATTGCAGTCCAAGATCTCGGGTAAACCTGTAAATAAGACCATTCGAACATCAAAAGTGAGCAAAATTTATGTAAATGGACTAAAAAAATTCAAGGGTATATATTATTATTGTAACTAATCATTAATAGTGAATGTGGGAAAAAGGTTCTCTCGTAACATACCTGAACTGTGCAACGGGCAACCGTGTCCCTCAAATTGTAGCGCGACCTACTAGCTTGAGTCCACTGCCCGCCATCCATACTGTTATCACATTCCACAGTTAAATCACATTTCGAAATGAAATATTAGTAATAATTATATGAAAGCCTAAGGATATGTTTGGTAAAACCAGATGATAAGCTAGCTGATAGATGATAAGCTAGCTTATAGCTTATACGTGATTTTTGAACTTATATATAGCTTATAGCTTACGACTTATAGCTGAAAACCTAGCTTATATGGTAAAAGTGTTTGGTAAAATTAGCTGATAAAGTACCTGAAATAAAATTTTCAACTAACTTATTTGAAAAGCTACCCAAAGAAGCTTATAGATAAGCTCGAGCTTTTTAAGAAAGCTCGTATTATCATACGAAGCTTATTTAAACATAGTCTAAAACAACGGTTAGCAAGATTTTATTATTAATCTTTGCCAAAAAAGACTCTCACCCGACTACAAAGAAAGAATAGCCATCCATGTGCCACGACTGGACACTGTTCTCCCAATTCTGAAACACAATCTCCACAAAAGACCGAAAATCGGCATGCATGACAGGTGTCCCAAGATACCCGTTTCCCCATGTTGGCCTATCCGGGATACTCCCGAGCGTATAAACCCCTCCAATATTAAAGTAGTCGGCCAATTTCAAAGGTGTGTCGGGATTCACAAACGAGACACCATTGACAGCATATCTCAACTTGCCATTAATGTACGGAGCCGAGTTTGCTAAGATGATAGTCCTGGCAGGCTTGATCAGCCCATAATGGTACGAGCCCTGTGGGTTTGGTCTGGGCCCACTCGCCGTTAGGTTCCGTCTGATGAAAAAGAACAAACAAGAGCAGTATAAGGCCTTTTTGTCAAAATTCAAGACTTTTTAGACGATTTTTTTAATTTTCAGCAAGGTGAAAATGTAATTTACCGTATGGATCGAGCTTGGGCCAGAGACCAATCGATCTGAGTGGTGGGCCCACCGGGCAGTGGACCAGAGACTCGAGTGAAGGAGTTACGGTAATGGAGAACAGCTGTTGTGGTGAGGATTTTGGATGTGAAGCGTGAAGATATCACGACGTAATAGTCTTTTGCTGGCTGGTTGCATGTGACTAAGACAGAGTAAGATTGGCCGAGATGGACATCGAGGGAAGTGTAGGTATTTTGGACCGTGTGAGAACCTTCTACCTCGACCAGCTTCAACGCATGTCCTTGGATTCTGAAGTTGATGGAAGTTGCAATACCGACATTCGATATTCTGAACCTGTATGTTTTGCCTGCAAAAAAATGGAATTTTTAATTAATAGTGTGGTGAAAAATGGAAAAAGAAAAGACTAAAAAGTCGTGTACGGATTACGTGGACTCGATTTCGGAGGAAATTATTTAATTCGTTGTAAAACTGACTAATACTCGAAAATCAGAAATTCGCGACACTTGCAAAAAGCAGAAGCTAACATTCAGAAGCAAAAAAAAAAAAAAAAAAAACCGAGGTTTCGAAAACAAAAGCTCACCTTGATCGACTGTGAATGTGTATCCATTCCAACCACGGCCATTGATGATGAGGCCATCAGGAAAGGGAAGATTATGCCCACCGTCCAAGAAATACTTCAGTTGCTGCAAGAACAAAAAAACAAAATGCAAACAATTTGTTAGAAATCAAATAACAGTGACATAATCATGATTCTTGATTCATAATTTCATATTAACGTTTAAGGTTGAACTCGAAATTGACTAAAATACCCTGTGACTCCTCTTGAACCAGTCCCCGGCAAGCACGACATGATCGCCAGCTGGAGGTGGGAAAGGCACGGGAATCTGAGGGCGGCTGTAGATTTTGATGCTGCCATATCCACCAGCAGCCTTCTGAAATCCAAGAGATGGGAAATAAAAGTATGTCCCAATTTGGTCTTTTGCTTGGAGGACATAAGTGAAGTTTTTCCTAGGTGGGATTGGACAATTTGTGCCAAATGTACCATCCTGCCATGAATTCCTTCTTTGCTGCAATCCATTCCTGTGAGGGAACCGAGAATATGAAATCAACTGATAAGAGGACGAAAAGAGAAATAAGATACAAGTAAGTCAAAAGTTGAGTCTTTGCTCAAAAGTCACAACCAAGACAAAAGATCATGGCTGTTAATAGTTAGTTAAAGACTAATGATTGGGCTAGTGTAGCAGAACACACCTCCCTACTAAATGACATCAATTTTTTACATGCTAAGAAAAGAATACATATACAAGTTTGTGTTTTAGACTTTTAGTGAGTTCACAGGTTGCATGCATTTTGTCCTACAGCCAATAACTCACCAAGGCCCTACAGAAGCTTGCACTTACACCTCTGTCTCATGGTCTTGATTATAAAATACATGATCATTAAAAAAATTGTCATAAATGTCAAAGATCCATAGATCTAGCACGTGCCAAATGGACTTGCCTTTTCTCTATTAAAAAAAAAAAGTCCACAGAAACTTTTAGTTAGAAGAAGAGAATTTTAAACAGAAAAGTCCTAACCAGATATGGAATTTAATGAGAACAACCAACAATTCTTAAGAGTTCTTACTGATCTAATAAAAGTATAGCCTAACCTTCTGGTGTGAAAGTTTTAGCCAAGAGTGACATAAGATACAAGGAGGAGCCAAAAGTTGACTCTTTGCCCACAAATAATAACCAAGACAAAAGATACTGACTTTGTATAGTTAGTTAATGGCAAATAATTGGGCTAGTGAAAAAGAACAGCTCCTAACCAAGTGACATTAATTTTTCCACGCTAAGGATAAAAAAGTACATATACTAGTCTGTGTTTTATTGATTTCATTTCACAGGATGAATTCATTTTGTGTTACAGCTAATAATTAGCCAGGAAGAGGTTGTATAATTAATGTAGAACACAACCATGGCCCTACATAAGCACGCCACTTACTCGGTGTCCCGATTAAAATACATGATAACTAAAAAAATTATGTAATGAGTGTCACAGATCCATAGATCTAGCACGTGCCAAGAACAAATGGACTTGNTATAAGAACTTTTTGTTTGAAGTAAAGCACAAGCACTTTTAATTCTCTTACTTTATTTCATTTTATATCATATCCAAAGATTCCAAACATAAACTCAAATACACATAGCTAAAACTCAAATTCCGGTCTATCAATCCCTGTGTCACTAGAGTAACTAAGCAAACAGATCTAGTACTACATTGCAAGTCCTATTCCCCAAGGTTTGGAGAAAATGCAAGCATAACAGAGAGTATATGTAATATCAAGTAAGAATTTAACACATAATGGCAAATGAAGAAGATTGTGGTTACCAAGAGAGGAGAAAAGGCTCATTCAAGTAGTTGTAAACACTGATAATCAAATTGTCATTGGTAACGCAGTCAATGGTCGGCCCCGGAAATTGGCCATTTATCAAAATCCCCTGCAACAACAATTTGTTTTAAAACATCAAACACAACATTCAAGAAAATCCCAAATGCACATAATTAAAGCAAGCAATAAATAATTATCAGCACCTGTTGTTTGACGCCCAGAGGATAAATATCGCCATAAGTGATTCTCCAAGTGTAGAATCTATATGGGTTGTCGCCATTTACGCCACTCCCAACAAGTAGCAAAGCAAAAACACTAACGAGAGAGTGAACTCTCATTATGCTCATATACTAATTTTTATTTTTTTTCAAAAAAATACTCTCTTTTTTTCCAAAAGGGTTCTTAAAAGAATCTTGCTTTTTCTCTTTTCCTCCTTGTCTGATGTATTATATAGAGGAAATAGTTGAAAAAAGAAAATGGGAAATGCGAAATATTTTTATTTGCCAGTTGCGAGCTTGAGATGTGAATGTGATGGAGTTCAATTCCTCACCGCGTATAAAATGATGCTTTGCCAGTGAGTGTGGGGGGTTTAGTTCGATGAAATGACGCTTTTGCCACTGTCACGTGAGCTGCTACTAGTGAGCTAGAGCTAGTCTGCTACCCCTTGTAGTAAAGTGTCTAAAAACTTGCCAGCTTTTAATATGTATTTTTTAAGTAAATTGTAACCAAGGAACACATTACACATGCATACACTTACAAATTTGGGTACCCAAAATGGATTAAATAATTCAAAATTTGAAATATAAATTATATAGATTTAGGACTCGAGAAATTTAAAACTTTTTGTTTTTATCAATTTAAGACTAAAGATCATAAACTGCTAATTCAGGATTTAAAAGATAAAATATACTATAAATTTCGAACCCCAAAGATTTTCAATTATTAATTTAAAACTCTTAACATGAACATAAAAAAGATGGAGTACCTATTTCAATTTGGATTCAATTGGTGTCGTTAAGATGTGGTTGTCGAATTTTTATTTGCAATCTGATTTAGAAAGTTTGAATTATTGTTTATTTGCAGTAGAAACCATACCATAAAATATTATCAGACACATTATTAATTTATCCATCACAAAAACCCTACATCTATGTCTCATTATGAAAAATTAAATAATAAAAAATCGTGTTTTAAATCATATTTTAATTTGATTAAATTGAAACTGAAATAAAAACTTGTGATTTGTTTTTCAATTTTTCTTAATCAGAAAATAAACTCAGGAGGCACCACATGGTCAAAATTCTCTTTGGAATATCAGCATGTTATTCTCGGAAAAACAAAAGGAGGATTCAATTGGTGCATGGATACGTTGAATTTTGTTAAAAGTTATATGAATGTTTGTATATAAATATATATGATCAAAATGAATTTATTTGGTTAAAAGTTACATGATCATTACCCTCATCTAACTAATAAATACACTACGTCTTTTCATATTCACTCTCCATATTTTTTGAAAATATCCATTTCTATCATTATTAAGAGGGTTATTATTGGTAAAAAAAATATTCTTAATTATTGTGCAACTTCTCAAAACGACATTTATTAAAAATAGGAGGGAGTATAATTAGTTGTTAGTGAGATTTTGATTTTATATTAAAATATTATTTAAAATAAAATAATTAAAGTTGATATGATGTAAAAGTAGGATATGGATGATTTGAAGTGATAGCTAACTAAAATTTTATGAGTGGATGAATAGAAAATTAAAGCTGATCTAATGTGTAACAAAGATTGATTAATATTATATAATTATATTGATAATATTGAGAATAATGAAATTGAGTTAAAGTTTGACTTAAATTTTGAGTATAGATTGAGTTTCTTTTAGTATACAAACACTGATTAATTTCAAACACTGATTAATTTCTTCTATCGTTGGAAAAAAAAATCACTCATTAATTTATTTGAAGAAAATGAATAATGCCGCCCTCAGATCTCTCAAAATAATAATGTCCCCGCCAATATCAATGTGGAAATTTCCAAAAGTTTCTTCACCTCTAAATTATTGCTTGACTAAAAATATAATTAAATACTAATAAGCCACTGTGTTTATGACTTTCCTCACCCACATTCTTTACATGTGAATTGACTTTAATCCTCATGCATTATTGGAGAGTCTGCCTGGAATTGCGGTAGATCGAGTTTGGTTAATGCATGCAATGCAAGAAAGATAGGTGGAAGCTTATGATCGCAATTAATGTGAGAACAAATATTTATTAACTTCCATTTTCTCTATGAGGACATGGTTGCAATGATTAATGGCAACGGTGACAATTTTTAATAGACATTATGTCATTATGAGATGTTCTTGCCCATCAAGGTGAATTTTTGCTATTTGTTATTAAAAAGAATAAATAAAAATAAAAAATTTATTTCGTGGAATCAAGCACGCGTTTCAGAACCGTTCGTCCAGCACCGTAGGCTATGTAAGTCAACTCAAAATCGGCAAAAAAATTTAAACCGTAAGTTCTGATCCTAACTATAGATTCAGCGGAGTTAGAATTTATTTTTAATGTATTTGGATGTGCATATATACGACGTTTCTCATAGGACTTAACATATTCAGACCCTGGGTATTGGTGACTTACTTGGAGACTTGCGCAGATTTGAGATTGTCTATAGTTTTAACAATGTGAGAAGCAAAGATTTAGCTCTTAAAGCCATTGTTCCAACACAGACTGAAGAATATGAGAACGTACTCTGAGGTTGAGCCTCTTTATGCTGAAAGAATTGTTGAGGCATTGACTATTTCTTACACGAACTTTTCTCGATTGAAGAAGATTCCGGAAAAGAAGTTTCAACGGAAGAAGACAATAGACTTCAGCAAGAACACCAATCCACAGTCTCGTGAATGACGTTCCAACTCACAGTCTTCAAAGACTCAAAAATCAGAAACAAGTTTTTGAGAATAACCAATGCCGTGAGGGCAAAGGGTTTGGGCACTTTCATGTTGATTGTCCAAATTTCAATAAGATGAATAAAATCTATCAAGCCACGTGGGATGATGATGATGACATAGAGCAAACAAAAGGTTTTGGCAATTCCAACAATTTTGATATGTGTCTTCTCAATGATTTCACATGATTCACTTCTTCTGTCCACCTCATTGATGACGACTCTGAGATGGGTTCTTACACATGTGTTGAAAGCGATTTTGATGAAAACCCAAAAGAATTCTCTGACCCTGCCGAGGAAGATCTTTCCATGCACAAGTATGCCACTGAGAAGTGCATCAAGGCTTCAAAGATCATCAAGAAGTACCAGATTCAGGCCGAAAAGCAGAAGGTGTTCGAACATCGATCTGAGGAGCACATAAAGGAAATCACCTATCTGGGGGATGAGCTTACAAAGGCTTGTGTGATGATTGTTGAGCTCAATGAAAAGTTGATAAAGTTAGATGCCCCTACGAACAAGCAAGAACATGATCTCAATGATTGTCAAACAAAGCTTGCCTTGTTGGACCACACGGACAAACTTAACAAATAGGTATGTAACGAGAAAGATCTTGTCCTTGAATCTTTATATAACGAGATATTTTCCTTGCATATTGGACTAGGTGAAAACACTGCTGAGGTTGTTGCTTTAAAAAATGAACTTAGATCGTGTGATGCAAGAACACGTGACTCTGCAAGATCACTACGGTAATATTGATAAGCGACTGAGTAAGAATGAATAGTTGATCAAAACGATCAATAAGCCAAAAGTTCCATTCGCCGAAGTCAAAAGCTTGAGCAAACATATTGTTAGTATGGATCTCGATACTATTTCTCAACCCTTAAAGTTAAAAGGTAAAATTTCTGAAGCTGGTACGTCATAAGGTAAGTCTGCTTAACTTTTGTCAAAGAAGGGTATGATAATAATCATTATATTAATGATTTAACTATTTTTTTTTTTTTTTACTAAATTTTACATTATTACTTTAGCTACTTTTGTTTGGAAAGTCATAAAGTTTTGGTAGTCTTAAAAATTACACTTATTATTTATACTTATCATTGAAATTATAAAATCCTATTATTCTAGATCTCACTATTTTCTGTTAATTTGATAATCTAACTATGAAACTTAAGCTAATTTTGTATATGTACTTTAGTTAGTTTAGAAAGTTGCATAATATTTTATTAATCGTATAGAAACTTTAAGAATAAATTAATAGTATACATAAAGCTCCGTTCAGGAAAAATAAAAAAATAAAAATAAAGAAACTTTATTAGTCTTGTCTTTTTACTAGTTTTCGTAATCAGAATTAGTCCAATTTTCAGGATGTAAATTAAATCTATATTTCAAAAGGCAACGTTAATTTTGACCCCACCAATTTCTCTCATTGTACTATCATGTGTACAAGAAATTATATATTACAGATAGCCATGGAAACTAGCACTTGATTGTATTGGCTTTTCTCTTCGTCTTCGCTTTGGCCACTCGTAATTTTCTCCTTCTGCCCATTGCTTTAGTACATTTCACCATTAAACTAATTCCTTAATTTATTCTTTTTATTGATATTAACGATTATCTATATTGATTTTAATGGTAGAGAAGGGCATGGCCGACATTTGTGAGTCACCAAGTGCCCAATTTAAAGGGCCATGTTTGTATGATCGTGATTGCAGGATAATATGCAGCACTGAAGGCTTCCCCGATGGTCATTGTAAAGGGTTATTTCTTCGCTGTATGTGTAAAAAACCCTGTAATTAAGAACCCGAATAAGCTGTCGCGATTATGAATGAATAATGAAACAGATAATAATTTGTTTCCCTTATTTTTTAGTGTTTGTGAATATAAAGAAAACGGCTTAAAAAATAGAAATAAATTCAACCAAAAGAAACAAAATCAGTATGTATATATAAATACTCTTATTAAGACGACATAGTCTTGTAAACTACCAATGACTTACGTTGAAATACAACGGACATAGCCTAGTAAGACATAGCCTAGTAAATTACCTATCGTTTTCTAAATATGTAGGTGGTTTATTAAACAACAGTTCAATGGGGATTTATTACCTAAAACAGATAATGCTGCCTTATTGATAATGTGAGCTGCAGCTAAAATGCAATCAATCGAGAAAGTGATAGGTAAACATGCATGAAATAGTAGTATCTACTTGAAGTAAGCGTTAGTGTTTTCTTACGACCCTACCATTTTGTTGTGGAGTTTCTACACAACTAGTTTGGTTGAATATCCCATTATGTGAGTAGAAATTATGCAATAGGAATTCAGCTCCATTGTCTGATTTGAGGACTTCAATTTTTTAGTTGAATTGTGTGATGACCCTGTTGTGAAAGTCCTTGAGGAATTTCTTGGTGTCAGATTTATGTACTAAAGGGTAAATCCATGTTACTCTATTATAGTTATCCACTATTGTAAAAAAGTATTTGAAACCTGAGTGTGAGGTGACATAGAATGGACATTGAATCAGTTCAAATGACATTTGTGAGACAAATTTGCTTTGATAGAATGGAAGTTTATTTCTCTTGAAAAATGACATACATCACAATGATTGAAATTAGATTTCGAGCAGCTATTGTCACACATAGGTAACTAGTTCAGTTTATACTTTATTAAAAGGTAGATGGCCTAGTCTGTGATGTCATAGAACAGAAGTTTCAGACAAAGATAGAGCAACATTTATAGGTAAATGAGAGTTTACATTTTTAGCCACAGAAACATTATTAGCAGTAGAAAGATGGTAGAGGCCATCTTTGAGGTCAGCAGAACCAATCATTTGGTGAGTTATTTGGTCCTGTAATATGCATGAAGATGATACAAATTGAACAATGCAGTTGTTTGTGGCAGTAAGTTTAGACACAGATATCGGGTTAAAGTGAAAGTTGGGAACATATAGTACATGGTCAACAGTATATTAGATAAATGAATATTACCTATATGAGTAGCAATAGTATGATTTCCAATTGGAAGTTTGACATTTATATTTATTTTTTTGGGTGCATCCGACAAAATAGATATATCACATAACATATGGTATGTTGCCTCTATCCAAAATCTAAGTAATCCTAGACAGGTTTCTAGCAACATTACAAGAATGGATAGAGGACTTACCAGTAGGTACTCAGGACAAGTAGTGGCAACTATGGGTGGTATCATATTGTCCCCAATAGATTGATTTTCTTCCTGAAACTCTCATGGAATCAGTAGTGTTATGAGATGCATTGGTGATAGTGTATGTGTGTGTTATCAACAATGGCAGCATTAGTAGAGTGATTGGGATGGATTCTAGGACCCCTAGATAATGAGTGTAAAGGAGTAGACAACAAGAAATGGCTAGTTAGAGAGGAGTAGGAATCATGAAGACCAACTAAGAATTTCATAACAAAGTCTTGTTGTTATGATAATGCAATTGCCTCAAACATATCATAGGTACAATGTGCAAAAGCACCACAAGAACATTTGAACAGAGGCCTATATGTGACATATTCATCCCACAAGGCTTTAAAAACATTACAATACTAAGTGATTGACAATGAGCCTTGATCTATGTTACCAAGCGATTTTTCCAATTGAAATACACTAGGGCCACTGCTCATAGCGTATCTAGTACGAATTTCATCCCAGACATCTTTGGCAGAAGTGAAAAACAACAGAGATTGTCTTATGTCCTTAGAAATAGTATTTAAGATTCATGAGGGAACAAGATTGTTGCTCTATTCCAAGCAAGGTACATAGAGGGGTTACCGGTAGGCGTTGAGTGAAAATCGTGCCATCAATGAAACCGACTTTATTATTCACGTTGAGATCCATGACAACGGCCTGACTCCAAGAAACGTAGTTATCACCGGCAAAAGGATCCACAATAATCAACGCACCTGGACTGTCGCTGGCGTGGAGGAAAAGGCAGAGGACGGATCATCGGAGGGGTTGACAGCTATAGATGTGTCGCAGATTTTAGGGTTAGGGCTAGGGATTCGAAGAGAGATCGACGATCAAAAACATAAATCTCAGAGTTTATTGAAAGCGGAAGGAGTGAATCAACGAGAACTGGCGATTGATACCATACTGAAGAAATTGAAGAACAAAAAGAGAGAGAAAACTTGTAGTATCATAATGAAAAATTATGTTATGAATTAAACCCTAGATGCTATTTGTGCATTCTTTTACATCTAAAGTTGTCAAAATGCTATTGACAATTCTTCTATTAATGCTACAAGGAGGTTATAAGAGTAAAATTACATATGAAAATAACTAAAAATACATGTGGAAAAACATAATGTTATCATTATCAATGTTCATCTCTTGAGCTCTTGTATATGTCGTGCAAGTCCTTGTAAAACCACCTTGGTCTCCTCAAGTGCCATTTCCAGCATCCTCATTTCTTCTTTCACATTCTCCGACCACAAGGTCCAAGACTTTAATCTTTTCCGACAAAGGCTCTTCTACTACCGAATTTACATTATATGCACCTTTATGCTCATCCGTAAAAAGCATTCCCTTAAGCGTTTTAGTATTTTCAAGATCATTCCACGGCCCTTTATCGCTAAAAAGGCAACCCCCAAATTCAGAACACATGCATTCACCACCCAAGAAACTCGGCAGGTCACTCGAGTCTATAGCCTCGATTAGGCTACTTTTGTAGTCAATTCCCAAAACTTGAATCTTTTCTAGTGTCCGTGCGTCAAGAAAAGCCTTGATGGCCTTCCAGAGCACCTTAAACCCAGACCCTGCATTTATAATGAAAAGTCGATGCAGAGTCTCGGGGTAATAGCTACTATCGATTTTTTGAATTTCCATAAATATAATAGCTACTAATTTCTCATCTTTAGGGTTACAGAACTAGGTCGAGAACCAGTTTTATATTCTGGCCATTGGGCGGGCTCCCGAATGATTTCGGGCTCTTGAATGGGCTGGACAGCATTGACATGAAACTTCGGAGTGATTTTTGTCGATCTTTAAATGGAGGTAGTTGCATGAGAGCCTCGGCAGGAGGATTTGAAGATTTCGCCTTTTGTTTATTGTATCTCGGGCCTCCAAAGCCCGTCGAAATAAGTATTTCTTTTAATGAATCTTTTGGGTTCTGCATGTGTAATTACAACAGATGCAGGTTGAGAAGGCAATATGGACAGGGGGAAATGGAGGATACAAATGGTGAAATTAAATGGGAAAATAAGGCATAAAAAGACTTCGAGCATCAAATGCCAGACAATTTTGGCTTTTGCTTCCATGTGGGGAATGGAATATTGAGAATGTTTGAAAGCTAAGAAAACCCTGAAATTGGGTTTATGTCACATTCTCTAATTATAATTTAACATCTTCTTTTATGCATTCCAAAATCATAAATTTCATGTTCCACGTTCAGAAGACCACCAACACATTTGTTGTTTTGGGCAACATCACTAAATAATAGCCCTAAACAAGGAAAAAATTAACTAACCATAAGATTACAAACAGTTTCTACAGATGAAGCATAAAAAAATCAACTAACCTGCCATCTAAACATACAAGAATTCCCACATGGCTAGAATGAACATCTAAATCGAGCAATTTATTGTGAGCAAAGAAGATGAGTGATTCATCTACCCAAAAAGCTTGACTAGCAGCACTAGCTTATTGATGCATGTACACTTAAAAACTATGCAAGGAATATGTAATAAAACAAACAAAAGGAGACGCCCCACATGACGTGCAAGAGTTTGTTGAAATTGATGCCCACATATCTGTCTATGACAGCACCACTTGCTTGTGTTGTTGAGTTCACAACCTGGCTTGTCCTATTGCTTATTGTTTGGCTGCATCAGTTATTATGCAAATTTCATTACGACAGTTTACTAAAAGAAAATTACCATGTTTAAACAAATGATTACAAGTACTTAATTGGTGGAGCCATCATCTTTCCTTGGAAATTACAGGAAAGGAAGAAAAAAAAACAGAAAACAAAAAAAAACAAAAAAAAAAACAAAAAAAAACAGCAATTTTGTACTAACACAGAAATAGATGCATACCTTCCAGGAAATATGCAGTCCCCGTGACCTGCAATTCATCCCCACAGGAAAAAAGGGAAAAAAAAATCAAATTTCATCACATGTAGTGTCAAAATAAAATAAAACAAAATATATACATCTCTAGTGGACAAAGCAGAGTTATTTCCTTGATGAAAACTCTACTGTAGCATCTGGTAAAGCAGTTTAATTTTGTCCCAGTCACTCTGGAAAATAATTCACCCACGAGAAATTACAACCACAGAAGTAGCAAGAACACATGCCTAACATTTCACCCTAACAATATCATGTCATTCAATACTATAGCCCAACAGCTCAAGTGGGCTCCTTCGTGAATGTGTCCTGAAAACACGCTGACTAGCTGTCTTACGTGAGACAAGATTCAAGAAACTTTCATGCTCTCTATCATGTCCTCAAGTTAACCAAAATACACAAGCAACGGTCAATTTGCACCTAAAGATTGTACCACAATGATGAAAAGATAAAAAGAGAAAGAAAAATAAGACATTCTCTCCCCAACAATAAAGTCCTGATTAACAATTTGTTGATTCATTCTAGCCATCAAATTACACTATTAATAACAAGATCATGCAAAACCATTACATGACAAGTAAAGAAAACTAAAAAACGTCACTCACTAGGATCGGTAGTCGTGATCATGGCCGCACCCTTGAAGTCGCACGACCCAGGATTCTTCCCTTCCTTCTGATAATAACTATCGAACGCATATGAAGCATGATTCCCCACATCATTCGGCTGGTAACAACTTTCCCCAGGCTGAATTTCCGAACAATTCGCTCTCCCGGGCCCACAAGCCCAATCCAGCGCGGCCTGCAAAGTCCGCCCATCCACTCCATCCGCCGCCACACAATATGTCCGATTTGTAGTGTCGTTCGCCAGAAAACCGCCACTTCCAGAGATGTGAAGCAAATAAACGGGAGTCGAGTTGGAGTAAAAAAGACCCCAGTTGGCTTCGGAGACTGGCGGGTACCTCAGGTCCTCGTTAAACAGCTCGTATATGTAAACGCTAGACGTGACCTCTGGATGCAGAGGGGTCCCGGTTCTGTCGAGCACGTGCTTGATCAGATTCGAATTGTAAGTGTCGGCATTATTGATTGTGGCGTAAGGCTCTTTAGAGTCGCCCCTTGAAGGCCAACCAGTTTCAGAAACAAGAACAACAATGTCGGTGAAGTTGAGATTTTTCATGGAGAAATATGCTGAGTCAATCATGGCATCCATGACGTTCGTGTAGTGGAGCAGGGTATTGGGGTCGACCATTTCTTTGGAAGGGGTTAAGGGTTTGAAGAGGGAGTTGTCCAGAGGGACGACCCCTTTGTTCTGCATGAAGACGTAGTAAGGGTATAGGTTCATCATCAATGGCGACTGTGTTCTGGACAGGAACTGGAGCAATTGAGTTATGATGGGGGTTAGGGTTTGGTTGAAGAAGGCCTGGGAGGGTGGGAAGGGGTCTAGGATGATGGAGGCGGAGTTTGGGGTGGAGACTTTGATCTGGCCGTGCAGATTCGCGGCCACGAGGGCGGCGTGGAGGGACTCGATGGCCGGAATGAGCAGAGGGGCGGAGGAGGGGACGGTGGTGAGGACCTCGTCGCCGACGGCCACGGCGGTGATGAGGGTGTTGGGGTAGTACGCCGCCACGTTGCGGCCGATCCAGGCGGCGGCGGTGGCGTTGGAGGAGCCGATGGCGAGGAGCTGGTTGTTGGGCACGCTGACGGTGACCCGGATTTTGGTCCCGGCGAGGGCTTTAAGAATCTGAGCGTCGGTATCGTAGAGCCTGACGTGGGTTATCTTCTGCAGCTGGAGGAAGGCGACCAAGTCCGCCGGCGAGGGTAGATTCGACACGTCGGTGCCGATGTTAACCCCCACAAACGGCCCATCTTTTCCCTGCTGCGCTTCTACTTCTGCGCCACATTATTCGAGGTTACTACTTGCGCGGGTGTTTTATGAATGAGACATTTCATCTAACAGTTAACAGGCGTTAGAATGAGTGTTACCTGTGAGAGCTGCGGCTATGAGGAGGAGCACAGAGAAGGCAATAGCGAACTTGTTACGAATCTCCATGGCAGAAAAGCTTTATGGCGTCTTGAATCATCTTCTGGTTTTCGCGCAGCTAAGATTTGCAGCGAAATTGTGGTTTTGACGGGCAAGATCCAGAATGGGCCATTGGGGAGAGGACTGAGTTGGAGAAGATGAGAAGAAAAGCTACTTTGCAAGTGAAGTGCTAGATTTTGGGGATGATGAGAATTTAGATTTCAAAATGACGATAGTAGCCTCGTGGACCTAATTTGAAATCTATATGTATATATATAATTGTTGGCTCATGAACATTTAAATAAAATCTATTTAATTATACATATGTGGCATTCTCGCCAAAAGACGTTATTTTCCAATTTGTTATATTTTTTAATTTTTTATTTCATAAATTATAAAAGTCTTTGGTATTAATGTTTGATTGTGTTAAAATTGACAATAGCTTATTTATTGTGTTCAATATTGTTTGGTTTAACATAATCTTTTAGTCAACTCAAATATGCGAACAAAAGTTTTGAAACACAAGTCAACATTTGTAAAACGTATATTAAATTTCTCAAAAAAAATATTGTTTTAGCACTCGATCTGTTAATATTTAACTACATTTGTAAATAAAATATTAAATCCCCCACAAAAAAAGTTTTAGCACTAAATTTGTTAATAGTTAACAAAAATTTAAAAAGAAATAAAAGAAAGCATATTTGAATTAGACAGAAATCTGTATTTTTTAAAAAAATACATATAAAATTTCTTTAGATCTTAGTAGATCTTTTAAATTATTGCATTCTTTTTATTAATTATTAATAAATACACAAAAATATCCTAATATACCTCAAAATTTCGAAACAAAACTCATAACAATCTTAATAGATATGTTGTTACATTCTATTTTTCATATAAAAACTGAACAATAAAATATTTACAATGCATATATCTTATAAAAAAATGCAAAGCTCTATATTTTGGTAGATCTTATTTGTAATTGACGGATTTGAATTGTAATACTATAAATCGGTAACAATTTTCTAAAATCCGGTCGATTTGACTATTTATTAATAAAAAAAATATATATATGTTTTTCAAATTTGTAAATCTTGATAGATCTTTTGTAATCAACCGATTTGAACTGAAATACTATAATTTAGTAAGTCGGTTTTGAAAAATCTGATCAATTTTGCTCTTTCGATTCTCTCTCGCCTGAAAACTAAAATTTTAGGTGTTTTTTTAGGGATTTCTGGTTGTTCAACTGAACAAATCGCTGGTAAAATATTAATTTTTCCTTCATTCTCGGTGAAAAATCTTTTAAGAAAAGTTGAGAAATACTGTTTGAGAAGGAAGAAAGAAAGATAGAGGGAGATGGAGATAGAGAGAGGCACCAAGAAAACTCGACAGAGAAGTGGCGAAAATTTGCCAAAAAGTATTAGGGTTCAGGTTGATTTTATACCGGATGACTCTGACACATAAGTACAATACGTGTTTATTTTATATTTCAGTGTCACATATTACAACACATAAGTTCAAACTCACTCCACAGACATAACCTCATCGGGCCTGAAACCTCTAAATTGGGCTGGATAAAAACTTTAAATACTGGTCCAATTTATATTTATTTATTTATTATTTATTATTAAATGCAACCCGATTTTTAATTTTCCAAACTTTGCGCTTTTAAAAGTTTGGGCTCACATGTTTTAAATAAATGGCAGAAAAAATATTTATTGTAATACATATTACAAACAATTATATTTAGTAATAAAATTGACCTCAAACTATTTGTAGTACAAAAGTTATCCATTTATACAAGTAAAATCATTACATGTATACGTTTAGTACGGTTTCGCTATGAAGTCAACAGTTGGCTCTACAGTGGAGCCAACCTTCTATATACAACAAATAAACTTACCATATTCTCTGATTACTTAAATAATACTAATATAATTTTATTAGTATGGTAGGTTTATTTATTGTATATAAAAGGTTTGTTCCACTATAGAGCCAACTGTTAGCTTCATAGCAAAACCGACGTTTAGTAAACATAATGGTGATTGTTATATTACAAAATTTCATGTTTTTTGTGTTTGCTCCATTTAATTTTATCACATGTTTTAAAAATAGTAAGTTTGACCTTACAGAAAAAAGGTAGATGTTGTATTTGAAATATTAAAAAATAAATTGTAGTGCATAATTTAATTATATTAATTTTATTATTGTAGTTACATTATCGGATGTGTGTACGCTAACACCTTAATTCGTTCCAAAGACCGGATTCTATCATTCAAGAAAATGGTATATTTTTTTTATTGTTGTATATTTCATAACATTATTAAAATCATTGGATTATAACAAATATTGTTATTATTATGTATTTTTAATATTGACTATTAGTTAATTTTTAATGTTAGAAATAAAAAAAATATGTACAAACTAATTAACTATTCCGATATGCAGTTAAAAAAATAAGATTGATAAGCATGAGCTTATTTGTTAGACTGATCCGATCTTTTATAAAATGGTATTTTAATATAAAAGTTATACTAAGATTTTAATACTTCTTAGACTCCATAATTTACAAAATATCTTTCGTTGTTAAAACAATATATCTAGAAACCAAGTAACAAATCAAAAATATATACTATAAACTTGCAATAACACGAAATGCACGTTCTGATTACAATATTTAATTATCAAGCTTTTTAAATATATGAAAAATCTTTATTTAAACCAAATAACATGTTTTCAATTTTGAAAATTTTCGTTCATCCCACCTAAAGCAAGTTTTTTTTAATTTTTTTTTAAAAAAATCAATGTGTAAATCTGACCAAATCAATTAAATTAGAATAATATTATTATAATTAGTTACAACTTTAAAAAATCTGTTGAGTCCATACTTATCTAACAAAAAAATAAATAAATAAAAAAAATTAAAGTTTGTGTTTAATCTAGAAAAAAATTATTGATATTTATCCGTATATAATGTCGTAAACGTAAGTTTTGATTAACACAACAAACAATCAAAATTAGTTTTAGTTCTTTTTTTTTATCATTTGTTTTAAAGCCAATATCTTAAACAATAATGAATATTTGTTTTTCCTTTTTGATCTGGTGTGATTATCCTTTACCATAATTATAAAATAAGTATTTCATATTTTTCTTATAATTTGATGGCAATCGATTTCTTCGATATTTTATGGTTTGCCAGAAAATTATTTTGAAAAAAAATAAATTTAAATATAGAATTAATGTAATCAAAAGGTTAATTTAATATAAAATAGTTAGTTTTAATAAATAAAATAGAACACGTTAATCTAACACAAATATTTTAATTAATTAATCAATTATCTAACCGAATTTATCACATTAAAATACTTGCCAAATTTTTGTAAATTTAAATGGTACAATTATTCTTACAGATATACTTACCAAAATATTAAAATTTTATAAAATTTTTGAACACAAATTTGAGTTATCCTGCCTTTTAATTTATTTGAATATATTTTAAATATATTAATAAACATTTATTATTTATTTTTCCTTATGTGATATAATCTAAATTTTTTTATTTGATTTTTAAATTCAAACATTTAAAGAAAAAAATATCTCCAAATTTTTTGGGTACATTTCATTTTATCTTAACTTCAATATAATCACATTCCTAACAAACTAATTAATCCAAAAATTTGCTCTCGCCCAAATCCCAAATCTCCCCTCGCGTAACCTAGCTTCCAATTGCCGGCAAATTGAGCCTCTCTCGGCGGCCATCCGGCTAGCCGGTGGACTACTCACCGCCGAGTGTCCACGCTGCTTGTTGCGGCACTTCCATCTTTCTCTCTCTCGCCGTGGGGTGTGGTTGCAGATCTATGGCGGGTTTCGGCGAAATTCGTCGCTCGGTGATTTGGCCGCCGGAGCTTCAGGGTGGAGAGGCTAGGTTGAGTGTGGTACTAGTGGCTGGATGCGGCTTGGTTCGTTGCGTTGTCCCTGCTTCAGTCTCCCTCTTCCAATCTTTGTTGACGGCCGCATCTCAAATCTCTGTCGGGCTTAATGGTTTGGCAGCGGGAGGGCTTCGGCCTGTCCTCGGGGGATGGAGGGGGGGATTGGTTTCGAGCTTTGGTCGGAGCATCTCCTACTGCTGGGCTGGTTGGTCATCTTGGTTGCGGGTCTTCGGTTTTGGCCGGAGTCCGGTTTCTGGTTCCTCGGCTGTGCTGGGGTATTGGGTCGAGTTTTATCATTGTTGGTTGGGCGGGCAGGTGGTTGATTCGGGTGGAGTTGGTTCCGGTGGGCAGGGTCGCAGCAACCGAGCTCTGAAGTCGTTCGTTCCCTTCCTCCTTCTCGGCTTCTGAGTTTGTGGGAGGCCGTCTGTTTCCGGAGTTGGCTAGTGGTGTTAGGCAAATTCGGGACGGTTTCGGATTGGCTAGTGGTGTTAGCCGGTTGGGGGGCGATTGTGATTTCTTGCGGTTGGTGTGTGGGTCGGTTTCTTTGGTTTGTTCCGAGACTATGGTCTTCGTCTTGCTAGGCCTTCTGCAGTGGCGGGCGTGGTACTAGAGCTTTGGAGCTCTCCTCGGAGCTGGCTTTGTCTGCTGTCTTCTTCGGACGTCTCTGCTGAGGGGGGCTTCTTGTTTAGGTTTTTGTTTTATTTGTAGTTTTTGTGTAGGTTTGTTGCATTGTCTAGGTCGTGTTTGTGTTATCAGTATTTTAGGTTTGGGCCGTTGGTCCCGGTTAGCCCGAGTGTGTCTGTATTATCCTGTTGGGACCGTACACTCGGGCATTACCCTGTTGGGGTCTTTTCTGTTTGTTTGGTTGGTTGTTTTTTATTCTCCCCTTGGGAGTTTTTAGGGTCGTCGTGTTTAGTTTGTGTGTCCTGAGTATTGCCCCGTTGGGGTCGGATCTAGGCGGGCTTCGGTCTTGTCCTCCCAGTTTATTCCGCTGTTGGCTGCTTGTATTCAGCTGTTGCCTGTCTATATTCAGCTCGTGGATGTACCTTTGCACATTTGTGCGGTTTTTATATAATACCCCTATCGTTTCGAAAAAAAAAAAAAACAAACTAATTAATGCAATATTTTTTATCCACATTTATCTAACTGTATTTTTAAAATATAATTAATATAATATTTTAAATAATTAATTATTTATCTAACCGGATTTATCTCTTTATCAAACTAGAGTTATCGTGTTTCGTTGTTTGGTTTGCGTTAATGTTTTTCTTCAAAATATACTAAATCGATATGCTTACAGATTTCTGATGGGATGACGTAAATTTAGAAAATTCTACCCAATTTCAAATGTTCTATTGTCTAATTTGTTAATTTAATTATATGA